TTATTTTTTTAAAAAAACGCGTTTTTTTTTTTTTTTCCTTCCCTTTTTTTTTTTTTTTTTTTTTTTTTCTGTTACAGGTAAAGCCCAGGAGGTAGAAACTGAATTGATAGAAAACCATCACATAGAGACAACACAGCTGCATAAAAAAATTGCAGAAAAAGATGATGATCTAAAAAGAACTGTAAAAAAATATGAAGAAATCCTTGAGGTATCTTTCTGAAAAGTGATAAGGCCATGTACATTTTGACATATTTCTTTCCTTTGTTTCATTGCAAATTTAGACAAAAAAGTATAATTCTTGCTGGTAAAGATCTTTTGAAACCTACTGCTTGCATTATACTTTATGTGTATGTTTACCTAGCCATCCCTTTGAGGTGCTTTGCAATTAAAATGTTTGTCTCTGTGTTTTGTGAGCATGTAAGAACACTAAAAATTAAGCCCTAGCTCTGATCCTTCAGTAAGAGCTATATGCTTTAGGTCCTTAAGTGCATGCAGTCCATCAGTTTGTCTGTCTCGAGGCCTGAACATCAGCAGTTTCCAGATCGAAATGAGGAAAGTAAGCAAGTTAAACAAATTAAAGCTTTACTAGTTTTAGTTTGTTGTTGGGTTTTTTTGTTTCTTTTGAGGATATAAATGCTTTGTGAGTCAGCCTCACCCTCCTCTCTGATATTCTGTCCGAATTGGGACCATAGCCCTTAAAGTGAGGCTTTGTTTTATGCAGGGTGCGGTCTATGGATGCATGGTTTTTGAGTTAGTAAAGCTTGCATTTTTATCTGTGAGTGAACTTTTTTTGTATCTGTGAGTGAACACACACATTTTTATCTGTGTGTGTCTGCATGATATTTGCAAATAGACACAATCTTGCTCCAGTAACATGGCAACCAGAAGTTGGCAGCCAACTTCAGTCTAAGGATACTTTACCCTCCAAGGATGCCTACTGTCTTAGCCGAGTAGGAATTTCGATGGAGCAAGGACATGTTTGGCTACAAAAGATTGAATAATTTTCAATGGTAGACTATACGTTAAGCTGGGATGCAGGCTTTAATTTTGCTGATTTTTAGTCCTTATATAAAAAATAAGTGTTCCTTGAATAGAATCAGTAGTAATACATGGAAATGAACCTTCAGTTTATGCTCAGTTGCCAGTCCAGAGCTATGTACTGAGCATGTCTGAGTGCTCTATGCTATTAAAAAAGCCCAAACCTGAAGGCAGATTGATATGTTGTGCTCTGGTTTTTGTACCTCGAGCAGCTTAGATGAAGATGCCAAGTTTTTAATTTTAGAATCCCCTTTCTTTTGTTTAGTAATTTAGAAAAGTTACACAGTATAAAACAGTGAAGTTAATTGCTTGTGCCACAGATCTAAATTCCAAATTTCTGGAATATACTTTTCCCACATATTGTCTGGATGTGCAGTGTGCTACCGTTCAAGTCCGTACTGTAAAGGTCCAATAGGTATCTGATTTAAAGTCATTTACGTACAATTTCTCTCTGTTTCTGATCCATTCTGAACATATGAACATCTGAGCATGTCTGAAACTTATATGCGCTAATGAATGTGTAAACTTGCAGGTTTAGGCTAATTTTGTTCTTGTTTGCCTCCCATTGATGATGGCAGTGATCACTAGCTGGAGTTAGAATAAGTTCTGTTTCTCTTAGCTGTGGTTGGATGAGTTAAATTCCAGACCACGTGGTTCTTTTTCAGGTAATGGTGTGCATCTGAGTGTTTCAGTGATTTTGGCAAACACAGTTTACAGAGTCTGTTTACTTATTTCCTGAAAAAGTATTGCAAGAATCTAATAGTTAAGAAATACTTGTGTTAAACTGAGTGTGTGTCACCTGTACTAGAAACAAGAACATCTGCCTGAGCAGATGTGTGAGATTTTTCAAGAGAACCTGAAGTTATCAGTTATTCCTTCCCCCCCCCCCATTACCTGGCTTGAAGGTTTGAGAAATTTCACATAAAGATATTTATGCAGAAACTGTGAGGCTTCTGCTGCCATAAGTGGTAGGAAGACTAAGCAAAGATAATGATGGTTGCAACAATGACTTTTGCTCATTTAGCTTTAGAGCTCTTCACTGCGTTTTACACATGGTTAATGTTGCTAAAGACTCGCCAACCTTGATGCCTTAAAGGCTAGCAGGAAGAGCTCAGTCTGTTAAACTTAACATGATTTATTTGTGAAGTACTCTCCTGGTACTTCTCTTGCTTTGCCAGGTGTTTACTTATCTTTCGTAAACACTTTGATCACACAGGATTTCATTAAAGTCTCCCTAATTAAAGGACTTCTGAATCATCATAGCCTGTAATTTGAGACCTGTGATTTTTCTACAGCTAAACTATCATTAAATATCATTAAAGAGAAGTTGAATGTTGCACTCCAGTTAGCTTAACTTAAGCCTATGTGTGAGCTAGAAATGAAATACCTAATTTCAGCTGTGTAATCTTTCATTTGTTGTAATGCCTCCCATGTGGATACAGCATAGGCTTTATGGTTAAGAATTGAGAAATTACAGCTTTATTGAAGTCTTAGTCTATAATTGTAATTAGAAGAGAATGTATTTTATACATTTTCAGAATTTGGCAGATACTTTACAGAACAGTAAGTCATTAGTGGAAATACAGTTTCTGTAGCATGTTGGATCATATATGATCTCTAGTCTTTTCAAATTTTAAGTTAAAATCTCTGTTCAGGGAATTTGTATAAAGAATGTCTCACAGGTCCCCTTTACCGAGGTGTCATTCATCATTTTGAGTTGAATTTCTCTTTCCTGCCTTTCAGCTACCTTCTATGACTAAGAGTGATGTGCATGGAAAATGTAAGAATTCAGATTCTCAGTATAAAAAAAGTGAGGTAAAAAGAAGTAACTGGATGTGTCAGGTTTTGATATTTCGTAACTAGAGGAGTATAACCACCTATAAGAGAAATCTTAGAAAAGTTTGGCTGTTGATGTGTTTTTGTGGACATAGGAAAATCATGTGAATGAAGAAAAAATAACCTACCTTGGGAGGTCATGGCATTTGAGATTGAGCAAGGGTTTTTATTGACAGTGGATATTCTCAAAACTTCTAGGCCAGAAAACTTCCTCAGGCACAGTGACTTCCCATTCACTAGTTTTGGATTTGTTTGTTTTGAGGGGTGTGTGTTTATTCTCAAGCAAGGTACAAGGAACATACTAAAAAGTGGCCTTACAGGGAAATAATTCTTATTTTCTCATGGCATACCCTAATTTTTCTAAGCCTGGACCAGTCTTGTTCTCCGTTTAATTTTTCAGTAAATATTCTGTATCACTATGGTCTGTTCTCCTGAGATTTTCAATGGAACAAAATTTTGGTCAGCTGTTCTGTTATTGCTAGGTTGGTAAGTTGTAAAATTTGATCTGTACTGATAAGTTGTACTGATTTGATTACACTTGAATGCTGTTCTAGTGCTAGTGAAAGGAAATTGTTACAATTTTCAAAAAGCTAACTGTAATCCTAACTAACCTTAATTGTTCAGGGCCTGCAAAATCACCTTAAGCTCCTGTGGTGGTTTCTCACTGTTTTTCCTAGTCCTTTAGTATAACTAGCCTTTATACTGAGTTTCAGACACCCTCCTGTATGTGTATGGCATAACTTCTTTGATTGCTTTTTTATCTGCTGTAGTTAGATGTTAAGGGTTTAAATGATTAGTTGTATAAGTAAATTTTTTTTTTTTTTTCATTTTGGAGGCTCGTGAAGAAGAAATGACTGCAAAAGTTCACGAGTTGCAGTTACAGCTAGAAGAATTGCAAAAGGAGTACAAACAAAGGATGGCAGAAGTGGAGCATCAAAACAGTGAAGTGAGCTGACATTAACATTTTTTAACTTTTGGTGTGAGAATTGCTTATAAAACTCTGTTGTTTCCGGTTAATTGCTTTTTATTTGTATTTTAGTCTTCACTTTCCCATACAGTTTGTGTTCTGTTAGATGTTAATTTTGAAAGTGAACCTTTTCAGAATCTGCAGTATTTGATGATATCTTTTTAATGGTTTGTTTACAAAGTCCAGTTGTGTTTCGAGGGGAAGTTGCCTTGTACTTTTTTTTAAAAACATTGATTTTACTGAAAGCCCTTTTGAAGGGGAGGAAATCATGTTGGGTCATTTTTCGTGTGGTTTGGAATTGAAATTGCAATGGACACTGAAGTAGTCCCATACCCCGAATACATCGAGTGCGGACAGATATGTTTCTTTCTTAATTGACCAACGAGTCAGCGCACACTTTTGTCTCTCTGAGAATGCATTTTAGTTGAGGAATTCTTCTTTGAGTGATAAAAATATTACTAATTATCACTACTCTGAGAAAATTAAAAATACATGAGATATTGAGTAATTGATGAGATCATTCATATTAACCTTCTTTTAAAAAGTTTCCGTTTTAATAATAGGCCTCAGTGGGGGGACATAAGGATTTTTTTAATTGCTACTGCAAACTTAATGTATGAACTATCTCATTTTCTTTAGTTTTGATGGGAGAAAATACAGCTCCTAATGTTTGTCCCTTCTCGCTTGGACTTACTTGTAACATGTTTTTTGTTACTCTTGTTAATTGTTCCATGACATAAAAGTTTTGTTTTCATAACCAGAAAAGCAGAAATAATTGTATCAGACTGCCTCGTACTCTTAATCAACCCTTGCCCACCTGCTAATGATGATTTTATATAATCTTATTACCTGGGAGAAGATTTCTTAAGAGATTCCTAACATCTTAAATCATTATTCTGAAAAGTATAAAGAGTACTTTATCTTTAGGATTTTTTGATTAACTGTGTTTCATCTAGTGACTTCATTAGAAAAATCTGCTCTAAATATATGCAGTCATTTATCATCATGTTATGCGTTCAGCTTCAGGATTACGTTTTCACTGATAGGACCTGAAAGTTATACCAAATCTATGTACCAGCAATGAGGTTTCACATGTTTCCCAATTCTTCCCCGAAGTGCATCACGCAGAGTTGCAGTGGTAGCACAGAGCTGTAAAATATTTGGCTGTTGCAGTTATTCCATCTCTACGTAAAGATGACTGTGCTTACAATTTATAAGCAAAATAAACAGCTGATTTTGTCCATCTTTGGAATCTTGTCCACAGTTCTCCACTCCTTGGAGTTTCCGTGGCAGGCTTTGGAGAAACTCAAAGGAGTTATTCCGTTTGTGGCAGGTATAAACCGGTTGAGAAAGCTCCATCGCTGGTAAATAGCTTTGTTCTAAATGATAACTGATGTGTCATTTGGAGGAGAAAGAAAGGGTTTCTGTGACAGTATATGTTCTGTAGGTACATCAATACAGTTAAAGCAACCAGGTTCAAAGTGTCTGTAGAATAAGAAGGGGAAATGTACAGGAGTTAGAGCTCTAATTTTATTGGAGTTTAGGCATCAGCCTTTCTTGAGATACTTTGAGAGTTCCAACTAAATTCAAATTCAGCAAATGTTTCGCAAACTGCGTTTTGTATAGTTTTAATTTAACTGAATGTGAATTTCATATTTTGTGCTCAGAGGTTATTCACAATGGTAACTTCATCTCAAAATGACATAACTGGCCTGATAGTCATATTATGCTATTGAATGTGCAGGTGACTGCGTTCTCATCAAGTCAAAGTTGATTCACGTCTGATTTTATTTTTTTTCAAGTGTCAAATATTTAGACTGCTTTTCCTTCCCTAAGTAAATGGGCTTCCAATTCTTGTTTTATCAGCGTTTCAGGACTGGATTCTCCTTCTTTAACTCAGCCCGCTCTGGGGTGAGGAGGAATACAGCAGAAAGAAAAACTCTATTTCCTTCACACACTTAATTTTTCTATTGTCCCTTCTCCATCTGTTTGTAGGAAACTTAATTTTGCTATTAGCTGGTGCAATAGCATAGATTTGTAACATTATAGACCTAGATAAGAAAATTGGACAAGGCCTGTGGACCTTGTCCACATACCTGCATCAAAGCAGAAGTGTACAAATCCATACCTCGATTTTACATGTGCATCTTAAGTTTGCTGTGATATGTTTTGTCTCACCTTGGTTTTTTTATTTTTTTGCTTTATAACTTTTTTTTCCTCTTTTATTATTTTTCCTTCAGCGCTAGTTCAGTGGTCTTCAGCTGAGTGGAAGCAACTTTTTGTTGGCAGCTGATAATTTTTGTCCAAAGTTTGAGTCTTCTGAATCACCGAGGGTTCTCTTGGAAAACCTGTGTTGCTTAATTGTCAGTGTTATGCCAAACTTTATGTATAACGTATCTACTGTTGAAATGATGGGTGGCTATACGTTTCTACAATATTTGTCTGACTGTGATAAACAGTTGACAAATACTAACATCGTTAAGGATTAGTCTTGAGATTTCAAAATACCAGAAATTGTCTCTCTTGATGAGAAAATAAATGTCTGGTCAGGTGATTAAATACTCTGCAAAAACAGGAATTGTGCTTTTAGGTTTGAGATCCATACGGGAACGGTTTTCACCGTGATTCCATTTACAGAGCATAGGAAAACCCACAGGTTTTATGAGTCTACAGAGATGGCAATAGCTTTCCTTTTCAACACATCTCCGAAAAGACTCAGGAAAAGTCAGAGGTAGTATGTACCATTTCTGTGTTCTCTGACTGAAGCTTTAGGTCACCTTAAAAAGAAATTTCACATGCTGATTGATATTGAAATGATTTTATAACCTTAATTTATACTAAAGCATTATTGTCCTTAGAGTCTGAACATTGAAAAGACGACAAATTCCAGCTTAGAATTGTTTCTGTGCTCATAAGCTTTGCTGTCTTTGTAAGATGTAGAGGGCATGAAGCTGTTAACATAGTTCAGATAAGTGTTCACATTTCCAAATGCAGCTTTAATAAGAAGGAGATACAGTATTATATTAATAGCAGTTAGGGGATTTTGGCACGTCCTGTGTACTCATTCAGTTATCATTCATCTGCAGTGTACATTTTGTAGAGATTTGTAAATATGAGTTAAAGTTAAAATTTATGATAACTATCTACCAGAATCAATGAGAGAGTTTAATTGTAGGCTTTGTTGTACTGTTTGTTGATACAAGTAAGTGTTAAACTTATTTTCATATGCATATGTATGATTTGGTCATTTTAATTTTTATCATCCTCAGTTAACATACTGTATCTGAATTAGGTGACTCTTAACATTTTTCTGTTTTTTACCCTTGTCCAGTGCATGATATATTTAGTATGCTTTAATATCTGCATTTTCACCTAATTTTTTTCTTATTGTTATTGCTATTCTAGGTAACAATAGCAGAACTTCAGGTAAGTTTTTTGATTTTATTGATTTAGCTCTCTAGATAGTTCTATTTCACAGCAGTATGAAACTGAAAATACTGCTTATAAATGTATTAAGTAAAAGGAGAAAGAAGTTTATTGAAAAGGTACCTATGATATATCTTCAGCAGTTCATTGATGATTTCCGTATGTGGTTGTTCTATCAGGCACAGCTTGCACAGAAGACAACACTCGTCAATGATTCAAAGTTGAAAGAGCAGGAGTTCAAAGAGCAGGTAGGGGTGCTGTTTAAACAAGACAAAAGAGTATTCTTGTTCAAGACTTTGTATTTGCAATATTAACTGTTGTATTCTTTCTAAGTGATGGTGTAGCACATCTCATCCACACAGGTGCTATGGAAATGAAATGCATGTAAAATAGTCTGGGATCGTACTTGCTCTTAGATTTGTGCCTTTTCAACGTACTCCTCTATCTTCAGAGTACGAAAATATCACGTGTTTGTGATGCATGTTAACAAAAACACGTGCATAATGAAAAATGTAACAGTGCACTTCATGAAATTACGGTTCTCCTCTTTTTTCTAAACTAAACGTTTTTTGAAGTAAAGTACAATTTTGAGTTTTTTTCAAGTATCTGTGTGTGTGTGTGTGTGAATAATGTGTTTATTTAGGTATATAAATATGCATGTATATAATACTTGCTATTATATAACTTATGAATATACGTCTACATACACACTTGCTCTTTAGTTTAGTGACAGCTTTCAATAACACAATTTTAAATTTTTATTCTTTTAAGAAAAATGTATTTTGCTTTCATAGAAGACTGTAATGTTTAGCTGAAAACTAATGCTAATAGTAATGCTAATGCTAAGGATAACTAATAACATTATGCTTCATTTTAACTGCTTGTAAACATTCCTTATCTTTTTGACTGCTGACTGCTTAGATTCATGTGCTGGAAGACCGGCTGAGAAATTATGAGAAGAACATGTATGTCACAGCAGTTGGAACACCATACAGAGGCAAGTACATACTTTTTCATCACAGGTTAGGTTTTCTTGAAAGTTATGGTTTGGTTTAGACGATTTATTGAAATGTAAATCTTTTTAAAATGCTCATGTAATTTTTTGTGACATCTTGTCTGTGTTTTGTCTTGTTTAGCGTAGTAGAGCTGGTGTGTGATTTCAGAAGAGTAACTCATGCTTTTTTTTTTTTTTGATACTTGCATTTAAGTCTTACAAGTACAAGAGCTCTCTATCAAAGTTCTTAAGCTTTATATGCCATTGGAGGGAGTGATACAGTGTCAGCAGAAAAGGGGCAGGGAGAAATAATCTGCTTGTCTTGGCTAATTAAGTATGCATTTTATGACTTGTTAAAATTCCTAAAGATTCAAATGTTAGATTTTACAGATCTTTCTTGTGTAGCATGTCTTGGCTTCTACTGGTCTGATGACTATAATTCCTTTGCAAGACCTTCTCCTCTGAGATCTTGATAACAGGAATATTGCTCTTCTTGGTTTAACAAGTGCTCTATTCATATCTGTTAAGAATACGCTTATAAAAAGGCCGCTTTTGTGCTATATGACTTCAACCAAGTCATTTATGCTTTATTGCTTTTAACTTCTCTCCACTGTCCACCTCTTCTCTGTCATGCTACCTGGTTTTTTTTCTTACTTTCAAGGCCTAACTCTCCAAGTTGCTATCTAATTTAGTTTCCTGTTGGTCCATGAGACTGACCTTGTGTTAAATCATGCATATTTATCTTTTCTTCCACTTTGTGCTTGGTAAGAGTATGCAAAGCTACTTCTTTAATCTCCATATGTATTCCTCCCGAAACTTATCCTACACTGTTACCTGTGTAAAACCTGATGATTATAGTCATAGTTTTGTATAACACCACCTATCACCCTGACCAATATTGCCTTTTTTTTCCTGTACTACTTTCGGAGCTTGTATCTTTTGTATCTCTTGTCTTAAGCTTAGTTTGTAAGAGATCTAAAGTTTTTGTATTACAGTATGTACTGTAGTTGTTCAGGTTCCTTGACAAGCCTGTAGGTAGCACAGATCAAACATTTTTAATTGGAAAAAGTGTTAATGCTTGAAAACATGTTTCATTTGTCTTCCATCTGCCTTTCCCTGTTTCATGGCTTTTGTTCTTCTGCCCTTTCACAATAAGGCGTTTTACAGACGAATAAGAAATTTAGAAGTTAAGGCCAGTCAAGACTATGCAGATTTGTTTGACTGTCTTAGATTCAGAATCCCTGCTATATCAGTTCATCTTTTTTGTACTTACTCTGAGATCTAAAGTTAAACAAACACATGCAATTTCTGGATTCACATGCCCAGACACAAAACTGGAATTAACTCATAGTCAAGAAAAATAGCACCATCTAAGCAAATGTGTTTTAAGTGTATCTGTAGTGAGCAAAGAAGAAAAGATATAAGAATTTTCATTTAACAATAAATATAAAGTAATATGTGTAAATACTTTCTCCGTAAATGTGCTGATCTGTTATATGTTCAGCTCTCAGTAAATTTTAGGCATCTGGCATAATTATGCAGACCATTCCGGTGCTTCTTAGTTATTACATTTTATTACAGTCACTTTCTGGCTAAGAGTAACTTTGATTCATATGAGTGACTCTCAGTATAAATATACTCTTATTTTTATTGGCACAGATGGAAACCTTTGCCATACTGATGTTTCCCTCTTTGGAGAGCCTACTGAGTTTGAATACTTGAGGAAAGTGCTGTTTGAATATATGATGGGTCGTGAGACAAAGGTATGGAAAGTTATACACAGTGCCATGTGGTTCAGCTTAGAATAAAATTTAGCTCCCTTGCTGTATAGGTTTGAGGCAACATATGCCTGTGATTCATTACACACTGTCTATTGCTGTCACAGGCTTTCAGTTTTTGTTCAAAGAGGCACGGTCCACACCTTAAAAACTTTGTCAGCCTGCTGAGATTAAGCACTGGGGGAAAGAAAAGGGAGAAGACTGGGGAGGGGGTATCTCATCCTTCACCAACATGCCTATGGAAACAAAAATATCTATAGGTAGGTATGGTTTTACCGGTGGGGGGGAAATGGTCCTGTTGTCAGTCAGGCTTAATGTACTTTGACAACTGGTATGTGCTACCTTAGCAAAAGTACTCGTGATGTCATTTTGACACAAACGTGACAGGCGACAGTCGTGTTGAATAATAGTTTGTTCATAGCTCTGAAGAGGCTGAAATAGCTCTTGAATTGTCTTTTTAAAAGATGTTGTACAGGCTCCCAAATCTATATACCTCCTCTAGGTAGTCTTAATTCACTCTGAAGAGCAGTGACAACTGCACGCTAAACTTCTTTTTCTGTCCTGACAAGCTTGTGAAATCATTCCTAAGGTGGAATTTTACTAGCTTGTAGCAGTACTGGGGCTTAGAGATTGACCAGGTTTAAAAGAGGTATGTCGTAACACAAACATTTTTCTTGGATGGTAAATGCTGTGAGGATGAATACTTTCTTTTCCTCCCCCCTCCCTGGAGTTCTCCCATTCTGTGTTGTAGCACACAGGACTGCTATTAAGCAGAGAGGTTTTATGCAGGGCTGTAAGTTAATTAGCTCTGTTTTCATTGTTCTCTGTACAGAGTAAAATCTAGCTTGTGCAGGACTTTTTGTCCCGGATAAGACAAAAATCCTGGATTTGTCTTCCTCTCCCTTTGTATCCCTTTTCTTTCTTTGGTATTAATTTCTCTTTGTTAAAAATATAAATCCTGTAATGAAAAAAAAAAAACCCACCCAGAATCACTAATTATCTTCTGTTCACAAACCTGTGGCTCATTCTACAGCTCTCTTGTTTAATAGTACACAAAGGAAATCATTAAAGAAAAATATGTACATGACTGAATTTTATGCTTTTGAATTGTAGGGGGACATGAACAAGAGAAAAAAAATAATAAAAAAAACCCTTCTCTAATAACTTAGAAGTAGACAATTCAACTTCAGACAGCCCTTAAAACAGCAGCAGATGACTAGTGCAGCTACCTGGTGCAAACAGCAAATCTGCATTCAAGGAAGCCTGTTTTGAAGCCTCTCTTGTTACTTATTAAGGCTATTTCTTACTGATGTTCAAAATACTACTATATTTCTTTCAAACCTTTGGAATATAAAACTGAGGGTTTTTTTTTCCCTTTTTAGCAGTGATATGCTAAAACTGCAGTTCATTTCTGCAGTAACAAACAACAAACTTCCGTGAAGGTTATGGCTGTTTTGTCAGTGTGAAAGTAAATTTGATTTTAGGTCAGGCTCTTCTTTCATTCAGTTGCTTGATTAAGGGAAATAAATATATATTTTTAGAGAGATGTGTTGTATTTAACCGGAAGATTCCATTTCAAAATTTCCTACTCACAGGTTTTTAAAAGCACGTGGATACTGGAAATAAAAAAAAAAATTAAACTAAAGAAAAGGTAGACATTAGTTCCTACAATAACTTAAGAAGGCATGGCTTTAATATAATTGAGCAGGGAAGTATATTTAATTCGAATAAACAACCGGAAGAAACTTTTTTTTTTTCAATGCACTACAGTTTTTAACTTTAGGAAATTAGATTTAGTGAGGTAATGGAGAACTGCAGAGCTCTTAAAACAGAGCCTGATTGCGTTCCTCTTTGTTGTGTGCTCATTCCAGTTTGGTTGTCTTTTAGCGGTACTCAGTCGAGGGTAAATGTTCTATGGTATTGCAAGAAGGGAAGAATTTCTGGCATAGTCCAGTCCTCAATGACTAGCTGGTCAAGACTGTAGCTGTAATGGAGCTTGTTCTTTTGCTAATGGAAAACTAAAAGGGAATGAAAGCTAATATTTCTGCTAACATAAATATGAAGATATTCTACTGGGCTCTTCGTTTTCCCTTCAAAAAGTACTTTTCTCGCTGATTTGATCTGCTCGTTTTCTTTCAACCATTAGACATATGTGACTGGCAGACTCCGAGCCTAGTGTCTTCTCTCACAGTGATCATGTCCTATAATCTAAAACTTGCTGAACTATCTTGAAAACTGATTAGTTTCTTCCTGCTCAGCTGATTGCAGAATCATGAGCAATGATGCTGTGATTCATACAGTCTTTTAATATTCAATCTAAATGCGTTCATAAACAATTTATCTACTTGTTTGTTTTCGCCTTTGTTGAAGGATCTTTATTGGGATGTACCACTTTGGTACAGACATACCCTTCTCAGCTTTTGTTTTTCTATTTCAGACAAGGCAAATTCAATTCCCCAGCTCATCCTGGTGGCCTTTCTCTGTGCAGGGTCTACTTCCAGAGCACAAATACACTGCATCTCAACTGTGGCTCGGTAGTGATCAGTAGTGAAGATTAATGATCTTTATTCCTGTTATTTCCTCTTCAGTGAAAAAAGTTGAACAGAAGCTGCACAAACTGTCCTGGATAGTTTGCCTTTTACATAGCCTGGTAAACAGTCCTGGAATCGTATTAAGTAGACCCGTTAATGAATGCATCAGTTATGTGATGGTGCTGGAGACCTAAGAGAAATGTTGAGGGTTGATAGCAGTTCAGTGATCTGAGAGTCAGGAATTAGAGCTGATAATGTATAACCTATATGTTCACATTCTTTCAAAGTTAAAAGTAAAATGTCTGACCAAGGCGTGCATGTCCCTTTGCTGGGGATTTTATTGTCTTTCCCCCCACTCCTTCTTAATTTGTTGCCTTTTCCTTGCAGAATTTATGAAATTAGATTGCCAGCTTTTTCTAAGCATACATCTTACTCTGAACTTGGAGACATGTGGCATACACCATTAGACGCAATAAAATAATATTTTTACAGCCATGTGAATAGTTGAACTGACCAACTGAACTGCACACTAAAACGCTAAGTCTTGCAGAAATCCTAGAGGACCGCTTTGGCAGATGGTTCTGCTTGCAATTTCATTATGCTGTTTGGAGTCTATTCTAAGGGTCAGAAAATCAGTCTGCATTGTAGATCTGTTATAAATATGCATCTTTGTCGTATGTCAGTTAAACAAGTACATTTGTAAATATTATAGTGGAAGTATGTTGTCAGACTTATTTCAGACATTGTTGCTCTCCAGTCTGAGAGAGCAACAGTCTGAGAGAGTAAATTTATGCAGATCTTTTTCTGGCACCTGGACATGCTTTCATGCGTTGTGGAAAAATCAGGGCTATTTCTGTAAAGCTTTTTAGTGATTTTTGGAGTTCTGCCTTTGAGCAACAGCTTTCAAGTTATAGCAGGACTTCGGGGATTGATTGATATCTTTCTGAAAGTATTACTTACAGTGATGCTGTATCTGAATACATCAGCCTCATTGAAAGAACTGGGAATGCAAACTATCATCTCTTTTAGATGGACTGGCTATTGTGTTTGTAAAAGCTAAGGGTTTTTATATAGATAGATATAGATAGATACAGATATAGATATATATGCATACACACAGACACACATGTCTCTATATACTCACACACTTTAAATTGTTAAGCTGTTTTTTTAATAGTAGAGCAGATTATTAGAGGAATAAGGTAAACCTTTTGCCTATATTAAACATACAATCTTAAATTCCACAATCCTTGTAACCTTGTTTCAGGACTATGCAACTGTGAGTAGTATTGAATAATTCTGCTTCAAAATATCCCTACTGACCACAAAAACTTGGAGAATTTCAACTCATTGCTAGTGCTGAATTACAAAATGCACATTTCCAGGAAAGAAGGCATTTTAAGTGCCAATTTAAATAGAGGCTATCTAAGTATCTGTGTTTTCATGCAGTATTTGCAGGGTGTGTGTACATTTTCCTTAATATTTACATACCATTGTGTCCTGTAGAAACTTGTGAAGAGAGGGCTTTCTTGGTAACTCTCTTCTAAGGAGTCTGGATAGATTCAAAGTTCCTTACTTTCTAATTGTTTAGTCCCAAATAGTTCTGTTGAGGATTTTGGCAAGAGAATTAGCAAAGTGTGGAGTTAGTTTGCGGCACCGAACAGATTCCCTTTTGTATCTGCATTAGAGGGACTTCTTAATTATGGAACTTTTAATATGTTAAATTTAAAGTGATGCTTTTTGAGTAGAAAAGGTTCAACAAGAGTTGGTTTCTTTTCTTTTACTTTTTTATCCCTAGTTAAGTTACGCACAGAAAAAATTGTAAAAAAACCCCAAACATTAGGGGATGGCCTCTCACTTTTAGCTGTAGGTTTTTTTGGTCCTGAAGCTGCTTTGTTGCTACAGTTTCCCCTCTTCACTTCACATGTGAGACTGGTAATAAGCAGTAGACTTTCGGGGCAGCAATCTTATCTCATGCGCATTCTTTAGGAGCAGCAGTTACTGCTTTTGTAGCAATCACCTTCTGCTTGAGCTGCACTGCAGCTCTCGGGTTGACCTTTCTTCTTAAATCACCTGACCACTGTTTTGTGGTTTTTGGAACTTCTTCCCACTCATCTGTTTTTAAAATGGGAATAATTGTTGCTTGTTTTGGACTGATGTTTAATATTACTGTTTTAATCTGCTGACATCTTCCTTCTGAGGAAGTCTAAATGCTTTGCTGTTTAAACATGAGATACTGTATACCTGCTAGAAATATTTTCACAACTGAAGTTCCACATCTAACTTTTGGATCTGCTTTCTCAATGTTTGATTTCTTTGTGTTTCTTTACACAATACTTGGATGATGCAAAGACAGTTGAATCCAGAAGGACTCTTTCAGGTGGTATGCACCTGAAATGTTTTTTTAGGAAGATCCCCATTAAAATCAAATGTTTTAGCAGCAGTATTGGCAACAATGTTCCGTCTTACTAGAGGACGTTTAAGTATTTGAGCTTAGACACCATACAGCTTACATCATTTTATGGTAGCTGCCGTTTGTGACAATGTGAGATGAAGGCTCTTTATGATTTCCATATATCTCACAGAACATATCATCTATCATGTTAATAGAATTTGAAACTAATGGAAATATCTTACTCCATTCAGCATGGTTTCCGCTGACATTACTAAAAATATTATGCAGTGTTCTTAAATAAAGTGCATTTTAAAATATTACAAAGTGCTTTAGCGCCTGCGAAGTTTCTTATAGATAACCTATTTTTCTCTAGACAATGGCCAAGGTTATAACAACGGTACTGAAATTCCCAGCTGATCAGACTCAGAAGATCTTAGAACGAGAAGATGCTCGACCATTGGTACGTTGTATAAATAAACTGAGTTTATGCAAAAGATTAGGTTGGAATTGGAAACTTGCTTTAAGTCTCCCTTATCCCATTTCTTCCTTCAAGGAAACTCCTTTTCTCCCTCCTTCCCTCTCCTTCAAGGGAATGTCAAATTCCAGGAGTAGGTTTGAGTTTATAGCAAAAACGAGGAAAAAAAAAATCAAGCCTATTTTCTCAACTTACATATCTTATCTCTGGTTTAGCTACGTGTGTGGTAGCTATGGGTGCAACAGAAGAAAGGAAGCCCAGACGTCGCTACCGTTCTGCAGATGAATTTTCTAATCAAAATAGTCATCTGACAGAAAATTTGTATTTTGTAAGTTCAGAATTTTTTGTAGACATGTACTAGTTTTTTTGAAAAACGTCTCAGGAGAGATTTTTCAGTTCTAGGAGAAACTTTCTGGCAAAAACAAGAGCCGTTTTGTTTGCTGACTAGTAAACTGATAAGCTTGCTCACCTGGGTTATGTGCAGCTGAAGAGGGATGTATCGTGAGTATCCCAACAAGCTGATTATTTTTAGAGGCCTCCTTACTTTTTGTACAGAGTAACTTTAAAAATATGTCAGGTTCACTCTGGGTCAGAACAGGTCAAAAAATAAGAATCCAGAACACTTCAGTAGCACTGCACGGAAAACTTTTTTCCGTTATTGCCTTGCCTTCAGTGGTGCTGAGTAGCGCTCAGCAATGTTACAGAGATCTTTATTTCCCCACAGCTGTGCAAGGTAAAAGTCATGAAGATTCGTCTGCACAGATATATACATTAGAGGGTAAAATTGATGGAACGCTGAATAGAAAATGATACTTTAATTGAGCCTAAATAATTAAAAGTCACCCACCTCTGCCAGATTTTGAGAGGGTTACAATGGAACTGAACTAGCATCACTATGGGTACTTTGGGGTGTATGTGACTGTTTTTTTCCTCCCTAGTTTAAAAAACTTACTATCATTCTTGATGTTTACATATTTACAAGAAAGATGAATTTGAGTTCGAGAAGGAGACCACAAAGAAAAAGAAAGATGTATGAGCATTAGTACTACTGTCTGAGTAGTGTAGCCATTTTTTATTAAGATAAAAGCTGCAGCAGCTTTCTCTGCATTGTATCTGAAATCAACATTGTGATCCGTCTTTTTGTGGTCCAGCTTAGTAAAATTATTAATTGAACTGAGAGGAAGAGTTTCAGTCTATTTATGTCAACGGCCTTTTGGATATATTGGACTCTATCAGAAACAGAATAAAAGCAAATTTTAAGCATTTTTACATTTCAGTTGAAGTAGTTATATTAAAGTACTTGAAACAAATTTAAAACTTGTTTCATCTGCTTGAAATACCAAACATAAGGAACGGGTTTGATACTTCAGCACTTTCCTACACCCTTTATATGTAGGTTTGAAATTTTTGCAATCTTAAATATTTAATACACTTTTAAAATGATATACATAAATAATGACATAAATGTTGATAATAGTGCAACTTCAGTAAATCTCATGCCACTGCATCCCAAACATGATTTTTTTTGGTCTCAGTTGTTTAAACAAAACGCTTCCTTCTGGCCAAAAGTGAAGTTAGAGAGACAGACTTTATTTTGCAGTCCCTTGCAGCTTTTTGATATCTGAAACCTGATCTTCCTAAAACAGATATTCACAATCTCTGTTACTAAAGAAAACTTTATCTTGAAATCACCCAACCAAGTTTTGGTCCTCAGGATTCAATTCTGGAGAGAGCATACAGTGAAATTATTTTGCTGGCTGCAAGTGCTTTGATGGTGAAGGATATCATAATTCAGAGAGCTTTGTATCCTGATCAAAAACTTCTTAGGTTTCACATAGCAAACCTTCCTTGGCTCAGATCGAGCTAACAATTTTTCTCCTCTCCAAATTCACATAAGAAGTGAAACTGGATATAAAGGAAACTCAAATGTTAGGACATGTTATGCAAATTACTATTGGAGGATATAGGCATTTTTTCTTCTCTTTCAACATTCTTTAGTTTGCTTCTTGAAGCACACATTGATATATCTGGTTAGTCTTTTGCAAATCTATTTAGATGATTAAAAACAGTTTGTAGGGCTTTATAAGCATAATATTCTGTTAAGAGCTATTTTTTGTTAACTGAAGATTATTAACATGATCATAGTGTTTGTGTTTCTTCCCAATTAACAATGAAAAAAATGATGCTGGTATTTGAGAATATCGAACATTTAGATCGCAGGAGCAATAAGGTGCCTAACTGCAACTAAATGTGCATTTTTAACATAAATGTTTGTGCATGTTAGTCTGTAGCCAAAACGTCTATAACTAATGTGTGAATTGTCAGTGTACTTTGTTACTGAAAAAGGATAAATGTGCATAGTACTAAGTAGAGGGTATTTGACAGTAATGATTTGATTTACCCTTTTAGCATCTGGGGCTTTCTTTATTAAACAGTGGGTTTGTGTTTAAGAGGTTTCCATTGAAAACTTTTAACAAATTCCTAGATCAATAAACATATGCCAGATCGATGCATCTCCTTCACTAATCAAGTTTTCAGTGCGTAATTATTGTGATCTAGCTGTAGCAATCTCATCTGTAAGCAGTAGATGTCCACAGAGTTCTTGTCTACACTATTAACAAAGTAGTCCAATAAGCTGTTTTCTTCCTGGCTTTGTAGTTTGCCTCACCTCGCAGTGGTATCTTCTGAATATGCCATCAGTCTGTGCTTAGTTAGCATGTGGGTGAGTGAAGCCTAATACATACTTGTTTTGTTTGAAGATCAAACCTGTAGCATGAGATTAATCATTCTTCTGTTGTTTTTTTTTTCTTGCCTTATTTTATTTGTTAACTTTCAAACATTTTTGTTCTATATGATAAACTTTGTTCAACTCTTAATCATGTATTGATTGCTAAGTTTTTAAAAGAAGTTTTTAAAGCTAAGCTTGAAAATGGTAAATATTGATTCAAAATCAATCTTTTTGAGATATAAGCATAGCTTGAAATATTCTTTGAGACCTACAGAAATCTCAGTTGTAGAAAAAGCAAGCAAAATCAGATTTTAAATCAAATACTGTGTAACATTAATGCTTATTGTATGTGGCCGTGTTTTGTTTTGTGATTTCCTCCCCACTTCTGAGCTTCTTATTTTAATAGGTAAATAGGTAAGTCAGATTTCTGTAATCAGCTTACTTACAGTGCTGCTTGAAATGAGTTATTACGTCTCATAAATATCAGAATGGGTTCTTTTAAGAATATTGGTGAAATATTAGGCTATGGTTGCATTTAAACTTTGTTACTTTTCTGAATCAGACCCTTGGCCTGGTATCGAGAAAAGATAGAGCAGATAGGTTAAGGAAGACAATTTTGGGAGACATATGCTCTCAATTTATTGCATCATTTTGGGGGTTTTATTAAATTATTTTCATTATGAATCTGTAACACTAACTGTAGCGTTACAGAGAGCAAGCATCTGATTTGGCCTAAAGATAAAGGTTGCATCAAGCCAGTCGAGCTAAACAAGCAGCACAAAAGCAATAGCGGTTGAGAGAGGAGCAAGGATATTGAAGTATGCAGGTGAAACTTTCTGCGTTGCCTGATGTGATTATCAGCTGAGTAGTGTTAGTGATGTATGATATTTAGTAAGTTCTTCACATGAATTCTATAGGATATACTCAGCCTAATTTTCCTTTTCCTCCTTTGCAACTGAAAAGCTTTGAAGACTTGCAGGCAATTGATTCAGTGCATCTGAAGCAATCGCCCTCTGTCAGCTGAAAAACCGGGGCTGGCTCTGTGCGCATCCTTGGCCTCCACCACCTCGATAGCAAAATGGATTAAACTTAAGCTGCTTCCATCACCACTTACCATGAGGCAATTGACAGGCAGTCCTCCTCTCTTGCAGTCATGTGAAAAGAGCCTTCAATACAAAATATGCTCATATCAAAGGAGGGAAGAAAATGTCGATTCATTTTAGCTAACATTCAAGATTTCTCCTTTTATTTTTACTTTACGTTCTTTTAAATCTTTCTTTCTGAATAAGATAGCAAATGAACTTTATTGCACTTAAAATGCAATAGTATCTGGACTGTTTGCTCCTAGCCTTGATCACTTCCTAACAAAATCAGATGTTTTTTCTCTCTCTCTGTTGAAAATAAATAAATTGTTAGTATTGAGAGGACAGAACTATTTACAACACTATTGCAGAAGGCATGTTTGACACCTAAATTATTGTCATGTTGTCTGTACTGCTGATGCAAAAAGTTCTTATGTTCTCAGCCCTTTCTGAAGGATATCATAGAAGGGCTTGATTTTGACCTTGGTGTCAGCAATTACCTGTAGTAGCTTCATAACTTAAGCTACTGTGTATGGGAGCTGTTCGGATCTCATTATTAGATTGTAGATGCTTAGTTTTTCGCAAATATTCTTGAAGTTTACGTCAGTGAATAGCCACTGACAAATGGAATAGTCTTCCATGTATGAAATGTAGAAATTAAGGCGATACTGACTTCATTGTAAAAGTGTTAAATACTTTTCCTGATGGAGAAGTGTTGTTTTTTTTTTTTTTTTTTTGCTAGCCCTGAAGTTTGACTTCATTTCAGTTTTGATCATGAATTTTATGATAGGGCTTATTAAGGCATGATACTGTGGTATAATATCAATTTCCAGTGAGGCTCCTGATTATTTTGTTATTGGTTAGTTAGGTTTTTTTATCCCAGTTCCTCAGCTATTTTGAAAATACTAGAATGGAATTACTTGCTCAAAATTAATGATATGTTCATTTGACTTACCTGAAATTGTTCCATCTCCTATTGCTTCCAATAAGCAAATAAATTTAGTTACTTTACTATTAGGTGTTTGTAAGTTACTCCCTTCACAATGTAACATTCATTTATTTGCTTTAACTTTTTATTCTTCTAGTCATGGCTACGACCAACTTGAAGAAATTGTGATGATAATCTCTTATGACAGAGCTGCTTAGAAATATGTCCGTATCTCTGTTGTCCCTTGAGAATGGGCAAGAAGAAAAGCTTTTATTTGAGGTCACAAATGGCGCAGCAAGAACCAAAATTCAGCACCACCTTTGGACCATGAATATAGTTAATAATTGCCTTGACAAGAAACGCTAATCAGGGGTTATCTGGTGATGAGGCTTTTTTCTCTTCTATTGAATATTGTCTTCTATTTTGTGTTAAAGGTTATTTTTTTAAAGGAGAGAAAAGACTTCATCCTAGGAAGGAATTGCCCACTACTGTGTCTCCATACAGGTTTCACTGGGTGTTTTTTAAGAGTTGAACTAAATGGTTTGTCTCTTCTATTTATTTTTTTATTTTTGAATGAATTGTGCAATACATTTTGGATGGGTAGCAGTTGAGGTGATTTTCCTGATTGAACTAGACACTCTCGTTTGACTACTCTCTCCCAACTTGATCTTCTGATTGTTTGCTAAAGGTCACTTCTATATGCTTTTGCCTACAATAAATCCAGATTGCAGTACCTCATTTGTTTACTCTTAGCTTTTGTACTTATATTTTCTGGAGAAAAAAATACATTACTGTAAATTGTAAATAGTTAATACATAACTGTATCATATGCTGATCTGTGACTGTTGACAGCACTAATCTGACAGAAGCTGAGATAAAATAAAGTTTATTTACTGTATAATTTTGGAACTTTTTGTGGTATGATTTTTCTTTTGGAATGATCACTAGTTTTGTTCCCACTCTTGTGCAAGACATCCTTCTCTGAGACACTTTGTGTTTGAAAACCTTGTTGTATGAAGAGTTGCTCAAGTACATTGTACTGTAAGGGATCGGTGGAAACTTTCAGATTTTCAAAGGATCACAGCCTGTGTGACAGACACGTGATGAACTAAACTGACACGCGAATGTAGCGAATGAGGAAGTTTGCTTTGTTATTGTTTTGGAATTCTGTGGCTTTTTTTTCTTTTCTTTTAAATAATGCTTGTCTAGCCACTTTGGCATATAATTTGTGATCGTCTGAACCCGTATCCAAGTATGGATAAATTTAACCTGTTCTGCCATTACTTTGATACTTGCCATATGAATGATTGTCACCTGTCCTGTTTATGCTAGTTTGACTGCCAAGATTGTTCAAGGTAATTGGTTCTTCATGGATGTAGTTTCTAGCGAGTATTTATAGCAGCAACAAATCCACTAAACAGCTCATCAGATAGTTCACCTCTGAGTGTAAATAGGTCTTTCAAATAGCCATGCCTGGAAGATACTGTTGAATAGTGTTAGGAAGTGGTCATTAGCTGCAGGTCCTCCTGCCCACAGAGGCAGGTTGGGCTGGTGTGGCATGGTCTGAATAACAAGTTTGGTTGGTTGTCCTGCTCCAGCTGCAGTGACCAAGCTCAATAGCTACCCCTGAACAGCCCCAGCCCCATGATTTGCACACCTTATCCCCCTTTTCCTGTTTCTTGACCCTCCTTTTCACAACCCTTGCACCTAGTCTCCTCCCAAATAAGCTAGCCCCCCCCCCCCCCTTTTTACCCATCACTCATAGAACTTAGTACATTTTCATGTTGTACTAGCTGAAAAACCTTTAGTTTAGTCTGTGGGCCCCCCCCCCCCCCCCCCCCATTTTTTCCATTACTTTTTAGCCATTGGTCCCAGGTTTGCTTCATCCATACCCAAATTTAGTATTTCTTATACCATTGCTGGGGTAATCTGCCTTATACAACATTACTGTTGTGGTTACCTTGGCACTGGTGGCCTCTCAAGACTCACCAAAAAGTCCCCAGCATTTGCCTCCAGTTATCTGTGAAGTCTGGCCGTTTCTCCTACTACTCCCCCATGACCACTGTGAGGTCCAGCTATCCCTTAGGTCATTGTTACTTTTGACAGCTTCTCATATTGTTACCTGTCACGTCCAGCAGTTTCTCACGTCACGTCCGGTAGTTTTGCACGTCCTGGTCAGTTAACTTCAACTCAGGCCAGGGCGCAGTGAGGAGTGATGTGTAGGAAGTTTGATACAGGTTTTGCAAATGCACCGCAGTTCACCTTGTTATCTGCAAGAAAGGAAATGAAGAGGCTGAATTTATCTTCACGGTTTCATAGTCTAATGAAACTGGGAGAAGTGGGAGGATTTCTGTGGTCTAGCATCTCTTGTGGCCACCAGCTGTCTAGAGAATGTGTCTGGTTTTAAGCTGTTGAACAGAGTCTAAAGGGACTGTATGGCTGACTTTTGCTATTGAAGGACCTAGATTTTCATCCTTATTTTCTACTGCATTGTAACAGTAGCAAACAGTAGCAAACTGGCAAAACATCTAATTTTTCATGCTCTTTTATTGTTCATAGCATTTTTTTGAGCTTTCCCCTTTTATCAAACATCAAAAATATGAAATAAAAAAAAGTTTATGTTTTTGTAACAGTTTCAGTTATAAGACCCTCTCTTTGCTTTCTGCTCCTGTTGAGTATCAGACCTTCAGCCTCCAGAGTATTGCCTGATGTGCACTAGCAGCCTTGAACAGACTTCACATTGGCACGCTGGCATCTGGGAAAGGCTTGTTTCTTTCTTTCCTGGCTAAGGATTTGTGGAGTTTTGCTATCGCTATCATTACAGCAATCTAAAATGTGTATTTTGAGTTTTAGGTTTCCATATAAGGTATACATCTTCATATGCTTTGGGAAATTAAATGCAGCAATCTGTTTCTCTGATAGTGAATTTTATAACCACTTGTATTTCTCAGTTGTTTTCTTGTCCTCACAAACTGGATATTTCTCAGGAGGCTTAATCATTTTTTGTTTTTGTTCTTTTTCCATTCAGTGAAGGATACTAGTTACAGGCTGTACTTTGTCAAGCGTGACTTAAGTGCAGTGGACCAAACTGAAATAATCTATATAATGTTCATACAACATCAGATGGAGCAAATAAATTCCCTTTTCCCTCCTAAGTGACCTGATTAAAGAATGCAATGGGGATTATAGAGTTATCCTCGTTTCTTTCTTTTTTTTCTTAACTAAAAACATAGAATCATGTTCACTTCTATAAATAACTCTTCAGTAATCACATAACTCTTTCTTAACACAATGGGAGAGATGTGTTAAGTATGAGAGCTTAGTCAGACTGGAGTTTTAACTTCTGCTAGATTTTTTTCTAGGGACTATGCAAATGAGGCATTAATTTAGAGCTTAAATAAAGGAAATGAGTTAGGGTGAAAGCATGAAAAAGCATCCCGTTTTGAGTAGGGTTTTTTTTGTTTCTTGGAATGTCATAAAATACCAATAGTAGTGCCAATACAACTATAAACTAACATACTCCAGCACACAAATACTGGTGATTATAAAATACCCTTGTTTAGACACACATAGCTAAAAGCCAAGGAATGTATCCATGTTTTGGCTGCCTTTTTAACAGAGGTTATAGGATCCCGAGATTGTTCAAACTGAAATGCTAGAACATGATGTTGCAAGAGAGTTCATGTGGATGATGTTTTCTGTTGAACTTTCCTCCACTTCAACATGCATTCGGTGTCCATCATAAATTTACAATTTTATGGACCTGTACACACGTGCATAGATACACAAAAATGTATAGTACATCTGTTTATAAAGATAAGACTTAAAACATTTACCAAGCATCCCCTAGTGTTCTAAAGATTGAATACTGTTAATTGAAGTGAAAAACACCTGTGGCGGTGGTATTATTATTTCTGTACTGTTTCAGTGCCTGGGCTGATGTGTATTGGCAACATCCTGTTTCCGATTTGTTATAAAACGTTATGTATAAATCCAGCCAAATTCCAGTTCTGCCATTTTTTAGCCCCTCTTTCTATGGGCTATACTAAAACTTATTTTCTGTCCCAAATAGTACTCAGTTTCTGGCTCTCTTCAAAGATGATGATTCCATATTGTGTGGAAACAAGACTGCATACCAAGACGGGTTTCATTCCATGATTCAGACTTTTTGCCTGCAATTTTACTGTCCATCCATAGCTGTGCAACGGAAAGTATTTTCTCCTCTGTAGAGTTTGTTAAATTGAGAAACTTGCTTTTGATTTGCTGTTTCAAGAAATGACAGCTCTTTCACAATGTCGTTTTGTAGAAATCCAGAGAAGCAGAAGGGGGCTGCCTCTCCCGCAGCGCGTGGGAGAACCGCTGCCCAGCTCTGGGAATCGCAGTGGCTGTCCCTAGACGCTGATGCTGCAGACCACTGCTAGCTTGGCATTGTGGAGCTCGATGTGGTTGTCCATATTCACAACATTGCAAATTAGAGATGTTAGAGCACGAGTAAGCATAGGTTGCATATTATTTTACATTGTAGCTCTGATCTAGGAGTTGTCGCCTTTAATTTTCTCTTCTCTTCCAGGCTGTCGTTTACACTGATACTAGTGTTTCTCCGTAAACACGGAGTTAGTTTCTTTATGTATTAAAATCATTTTATTTTAAAGGCATGTCGGCTCGAAACAAGCATGTCTCCAGAGGTTTCTTTCACTGTAAAACAGTGACGGCTATTATTATTTCCTACAGTTGCCACTTAATACCGTGTGACGTTTCAGAGAAGCTGTAATTAAGCCACTGGTTATTATGTGCTGACTTAGGGCTGTGCTAGCACCTCACGGTACAGTGACGGGGATTGCTGGAGGAGTTGGAAAGAGAGTTGACACACGACTTCCTCCTCTTGGTTGCAGCTTCTAAAGCAGCAACCAGGTCACGTCCTATTCATTTGGCCGTTGGGCAAATGAATACGGTAGTTGCTCGGTTTCTAATCAGGCAGGTCCCTGCCACAAAAGCCGCTGTGATTCAGCAGGTGGGTTTTCCGAGCGGAGACCAAGGCCTGCGCGGCCATGAAGGCAGAGCAGCTTCAGGATCCAGAGGACACCTCCGGAGGCTGATGTTGAAGCATGTCAACAGGCCTACGCTAGAGAGGCCTTTGCCTGCCGAGCCATGTCAGCCCGTCTTGGTGCCTAGAAGGTTTGAATCGCTAGTGTTTTCAGTAAGCGTTTAACTTGACTGAAGGGGAAAAGGATGAATAGCAGAGCATATGCTGTAATCTTTGCCACTGTTTATATTTTGGAAACTTTACTAGTCTAAGAGAGTATTTAGCCTTTTTTTTAGATCTATGATTTCTACTTGTTACTGAGCTGATGTCTGCAAGAAAAAGAGCTTTTGCGTTTGGCAGCACTATGCATCGCCCGGTTTTATTGGAGTAAGGGAAGAACTTAGAGGTTTTCTAACTTGGATCAGGCAGTGTATCTTTTGCAAATTAATCAGAATGATCAAACAGCATGTAAAATTTAGAACAGTCGTCTCTCTGCGCAGCCAACATGACAGGTTCTGTGGTTCCCTAACTGCAAGCTTGTTCTGCAAAGCCGTCTTGCCAGTCTTTCTCGCTCAAGCCACAGTCTCCTGAGAAACGGCTGAAATGGAAAATTAAGAAATTGGTATTTGAATGAGGAAGAGAGAAGATAAACGCTTACAGAATAAAGTCATTTGGGTTGTAAGATTCATCATGGCAGATTGGATGGTAAGTGCTGAACATATTACCGTTCCTGCGCAGAAGTTTTGAATTTGCCGTGTCTCTGGCCTGCAAGCTGTTTGTTCTAGCAGCCCATTAACCATGGGGAAGAGGGTAAAAATAATCGATAGTGAGCCAGCATAAGCTACCTAGAGGTAGACCTCCCCATGGCCCATAAGCTTTTAATGCTC